TATTATATATTTTTAGAAAAATATTGTTAATGGGTAAGTTATGAACTATTTTATTATCTAAATAAAAACCAAAAATTTTTATACATAAAGAAACCCTATGTTTTGCTCATTTATATTATTGTTTATAGGTTTGATTGATATTAAAACCTTAGTAAAATGTACAAAATTATTATATATTTATAGAATAAAAATAATATATTTTTCTCATCCGAATTTAAAAATAATAAATCAATTCAATTTTACTTAATTAAAATAGTTTCCTTAAAAGATATAGGTTGATTTAATATATTACTAAATCACAACTTGTTAGTATTCTTGTATTATTTATTTTAATAAATTCTCTACTCTCTCTCCCTTACTATTCAAATACAAAAAAAATGAAAATAGCAGTTGAATAAAGAAATAATTAAAATTATTTAAATCTGATATATTAAAGCTTTGTTAAATTTATATTTCTAATCGACTCAATTTAGATATATTTCGCTCCATTTTAATTTAAGAAAAATATTAAGAAATTAAAACTATTTTTATCAATTTATAATTTTTTATCCTAAAGTTTCTTGTTATTGTTCATCAAAAAACGTAGTTAAATTTCTCTAAGACAAAAAATATTTATTCATAATTAAATAAAGAATACTATAATGTCTTCTAATCTTTAATCCATAAAAATTAGCAAGTCGAATTATGAGATATCTCTTAATGGGGAGTAGTTGTTAAGTGTTATGTAGCTTCCTTATATCAAAAAATTCCAAATCCTTTTTTTTCAATGAAGCCATTAGAATACTATAAGCAATCTTCAGTGTTAGAGAAATTAAAGGTTTTTTTTAGTTTTAACACTAATGAAAAAATAGTAGAATGCAATAAAATCATTATTCAAATTTTTTTTAATTAATTTAGGTTTTCCTTTTTATATGCTCATAACTTAAGCATAAGCAGAAAAATTGTTTTTAAAAGATATTACAAACAAGAAAAATTTTATGAGTATATACTTTACTATTTTTTAATCTTTATTTACAGTATTTTAAAGAAAATATTTGTAGTCAGTTTCATTTATTTAAAATTATGTTAAGTTGTATTTAGATTCATGCGGTTCAAAGAAATTAATATTAATTTGGATTAAAGAGCATATATTCAAAAAATTAATCTCACTTTTTATTACTAAATTATTATCAGAGCTTGAGTTGGTAAAACTAACATCAACTTTTTTTCCGGAATCTTTAAACAAATATTTCTTGTACATTCAGAACCCTTTTCAATTTCACAAAAAGAAGTGCAACCATCTTTATCTTATTTATTACCATCATCACATTATTCATCTCTTGCTTTAATATTATCTCCACATTTAGGAACACATTTTCTTAATTTGTAATCAGCATATAATCCTTAACTATTATTACACTTTTCGCATTTTTCAAATCTACATTTGGTACAATTATTTGGAGTCTTTTCACACTCTTCACATTATTCTGAACAAGTGATACACTCATTCTCAAGTAAGAAATATCCTTTTAAGCATGAGGTACATTTGATATTTCCTTCCATATAGATGCAATTTGCACAATTCGATTGGCAAATGAAGCAAATACTTGTTTCTTATACTTTTATACATTAGTAGCCTGGATCAATAATGCATTAGGTACAACCATCTCTTGAAACATTATTACCATCATCGCATTATTCCGATAAAAGAACTATTCCATCTCCACATGTACTTGTACAAACTTGATTTTAAATTTTGTATCCTTCTTAACACTCGGTACATTTACCTTGTATGCAAATTTTACATAGTAATTCACATTAAAATTGGCATTAATTACATCCATCATTAGGCTATTCATTTCCATCATCGCATTATTCATCACCACTTTAATTTAATCTCCACATATTGTACACATATATTTTTAATATCATCGTAATACAATCCTTTTGATTCATCGCATTATTTCCTCTCAAAACATCTTTCTTTCTTTTGGTCATAAAAATAGGATTGGATACAAGATAAACATTTTCCATTTTGGCAAATTGTACAGGTTTCTTGACATTAGAACTGACAATTAGTACAACCATCATAAATAATATTGTTTCCATCATCACAATTTTCTTAAGGTGTTATGATTTTATCTCCACATATAGAGTCACAAGAATTAGTTTTTAAATCTAAATAGTAGCCTTGAGAGCAATTGATGCATATTCCTGAATGACAATATTAGCAATTAATAGGACAGTTATATTTACAGTTAATATATGTTTCTTAATTATTTTAAATTAAATAATTGCATTATTCATTCTTAGCTAAAATTCCATCTCCAAAAATGGAGATACAGTTTTATTTTAGATTATCTCTATTTCTAAAAAAACATTACTGATTGGAGCATGATAAACACATCGATGAACAATTTATATCAATCTCTTAACAAGTTGTGTAGATAATATTTTTTTATTTATCTTTCAAATAGTCAATGATTAAATTGTCCCGTTGATGAAAAAGATCTAAAATGTAATCTATTATTAAAAAACTTTTAAAATATGTAAAATACAATTATTCGAATTGTTACATAAACTCTTTAACTTGTAATCCTAATGATTAAAGAGTGATCACTTTTATATAATTATTGTATTCGAAAAATTAATATGATCGTAATTCTTGATTGATAAGAAAAATTCAAATCAATTTAAGAAAGAATTTTATCTTCATAATTTATTTTGATGCATTTTTCTTGGATTAATAAATAGTTTTCAAAATATTCTAAGCATATGCCCTTAAAACAAAGAGCACATTAATCTTAACAATTATATTAGCAAAGATGACATTCATTATCAAATATCAAATTTCCATCATCGCATTATTCATCAAGTGTGACAATTTCATCACCACAAATAGGAAAACATTATTTATCAAGTAATTCATATCCAATTTTACATTATAAACATCCATTACCTTAAGAAAGATCGCATTCAAGACAGGATTCTCTACATTCACATCGATTTAATCTTGAATTTAATTGATATACATCAACACAATGAAGACATATATCATTTTGACAATCGTCACATATTAATGGAATTTAGCATTTAAACTTACAATCAAATGTGCAACCATCATTATCATCAGATAAATTATGATCATCACATTATTCAAAATTATTAATATCAGGTGCTGAAACAATTATTCCGTCTCCTCAAATATTTTTACAATAATTTGATTCTGAAGATAGGCCCTCTCTACATTTTAAACATTAACCTTAATTTAAATCGCACTCTAAGCAATCTGGATAGCAATAAAATTAACAATCCTTACAGATTTTCTTAGTTGATTCGATAGCATCGTCACATTTTTCTGTTCCTACTTATTTCCCATCTCTACATTATTCTTTACAAATAAAGTTAATTGTTTAAGTATCCAGATACCAACCTGAGGTTGCACACTCATAGCATACTCCTAGTATACATTTTGCACATTGTGTATAACGTTCTAATTTACAATTATCACATCTATCATTTGCTAAATTATTCATATCATCGCATTCTTCCATTTCAGTAATTATACCATCCCCACATTTGCAGTCAGTCTTTTCTGAATTACAAGGATCACATAAAGTATTTATAGGACAGTCTAAAAATTTAGAAAAATTACTAACATAATATTGATTAGCAGATCTTTCACAAATAAGATTGTTGCTATTGTAGCTAAATCCTTCAATACATTCTTGGCAATCATTTGATGATGTGTATTTCTTACAAAATTAAAGGCATTTTAAACAATTTTAATTATCATCATAATAGCCTTCTTTACAAATGCATTAATTATTAGTTAATATTCGAAATTTTACAAAATCACATTAGGTGCAAATTACATCATTAGTACATCTATCGCATTTTAAGAGCATTATTAACATTGTTGTTGATTGCTATCAAGATATTAATTAGGAGAACAAACACACCCTTAAATTGGATTAATGAACCCTTCCTTGCAGGTTAAACAATTTTATAAGGATGTGCAAGTTTAGCAATTATGGACATTTTAAACATTAATCTAAATGCCAATCATATTATTCATTATTCTATTAGCATGTGGAAGATAGTACTGTACTAGGATTTTAGCAATCTATTTCATTTGTACAAGCTTGACAACCAGTCCTACAATAATGAACAGTAATATAAAACTGATAAAATCCACAATAAGCTTCAATAGGTTCATTATTAAGACCTTAACATTCCCAATCTAGTTTGAGAGTAGTTAAAGAATGTTAGTGCTATTTGAATATTTTATTTGATGGACTAGATTTTGTTAATTCTGTCATATGAGTATCGTCAATCCAAAAAATAAATTTACCATTATCTTGGAATGAAGGGCCAAAAACAACAATAAAAGCTATAGATAGACTATGATGAGGATCAAGAATATTGAATTATCTTGAAAATCTAGCCTAGGCCCATATATAAGGCCCTCCAAAGATTCTCTAGTATTTATTCAAAATTGAATAATAGATATTAGCTCCTTTTAGAAAATTTAAACCTGTTTAACTAATTACTAAATACTCAGAATAAGTAACAGGATTAATTTCTAATCCAATAAATTCTTTTATTAATAGTCTGGAATCTAAAACTAATTAAAATTAGAATACATTTTGTTGCATCAGTAGTATCGAAATCTTAGCAATGAGTATCATTAATTTTAATTTAAAAATTACTTGTGCATTGAACACATTGGTTCCATTTTGAAATGTAATAATTTGTATTGCACTTAGTACATTTGAATTTTTCACTGCATGTTTAACACTAAGAGGGACAATACCCTGATGAAATCTCAATACTCCGAATAGCCCATCCTGCGTTAATATCTCTAAAAATACAATATAATTGTACGTATAATTGCCTATTAATTTAAGAATGAATTATTTTGTTATGTTTGCTTATAGATAAATTTGATATTATTGATTATTCTAATAAACTTATGTACTCTCATAGTAATTTGGCTTATTGAAATTCGCATATAAAATAAAATTATCTGTTTATACACTTGTATTATTTTTATATATTTTCCCATAATAAGTGTTATTAATATGTAATTCAATACTACTTTCAAGTGGCATTTCATTAAATAGTATTAATTATATATATATTAAAGTTAAGTTATAAGGATTATTAATGTTTAAAATTCTATAAATCCCTTAACTCTTTTTAAATAATCCAAGTAAATAATAATTATCAAAGTAGAAATTTTAAGGAATAGGAAGTCTAAGATCAGTAAAATCATACAATATTTACCAGTTATATTGTTCAGTAGTTTTAAATTCATATAAACCAAACCAGTAGTAAATTAATCCTTTTTATAGATATCAATTTTACTATTATATGTTTCACAATAACCATTTACAAACAATAATGAGTCTAAAGGACAAATAGTTCTGCATCCCTGATATTTTACAAAATATGGAGTCTCTGGTGGACATTTATTCGAACAAGTGTTATCTTGTTAAATTGTATTATAAAAACACTCAGTACATTGGTTTGGTAAATCACCCCAGCATTTTTTACAATTAGGATGGCATTTAAGAGTTTAATAGATGAAATTCTTGATAGATACATTACCCGTTAAAGTATATGCATTAAATTAATGAATTCCTTTAATCAAAGTTTAATTAATTGTAAAATTAACTGTCTATATAAATGCATGTGTCGAATCGCAAAATCCCTTCCATATATCNGTATCGTCAATCCAAAAAATAAATTTACCATTATTCTGGAATGAAGGACCAAAAACAACAATGAAAGCTATAGATAGACTATGATGAGGATCAAGATTATTGAATTTTCGTGAAAATCTAGCCTAGGCCCATATATAAGGCCCTCCAAAGATTCTCTGTTTATTGAAAATTGAATAAAAGATATTAGCTCCTTTAAGAAAATTTGAACCTGTTTAACTAATTACTAAATACTCAGAATACATAACAGGATTAATTTCTAATCCAATAAATTCTTTTATTAATAGTCTGGAATCTAAAATTAATTAAAATTAGAATACATTTGTTGCATCAGTAGTATCGAAATCTTAGCAATGAGTATCATTAATTTTAATTTACAACTTACTTGTGCATTGAACACATTGGTTCCATTTTGAAATGTAATAATTTGTATTGCACTTAGTACATTTGAATTTTTCACTGCATATTGAACATTAAGAGGGACAATACCCTGATTAAATCTCAATACTCCGAATAGCCCATCCTGCGTGAATATCTCTAAAAATACAATTTAATTGTACGTATAATTGCCTATTAATTTAAGAATAAAATATTTTGTTAAGATTGCTTATAGATAGATTTGATAGTATTGATTATTCTAATAAACTAATGCATTATCATTGTAATTTGCCTTATTGAAATTCGCATATAAAATAAAATTATCAGTTTATAAACTTGTATTATTTTTATATATTTTCCCATAATAAGTTTCATTAATACGTAATTCAATACTACTTTCAGGAGGCATTTCATTAAATAGTATTAATTTTATATATATTAAAGTTAAGTTATAAGTATTGCTAATGTTTAAAATTCTATAAATTCCTTAATTTTTTTAAATAATCCAAGTAAATAATTATTATCAAAGTAGAAATTTTAAGGAATAGGAAGACTAAGATCGGTAAAATCAAACAATATTTGCAAAATATGGAGTTTCTGGTGGACATTTATTCGAGCAAGTGTTATCTGATTAAATTGTCTTATAAAAACACTCAGAACATTGGTTTGGTAAATCACTCCAGCATTTTTTACAATTTGGATGGCATTTAAGAGTTTAATAGATGAAATTCTTGATTGATACATTACCCGTTAAAGTATATGCATTGAATTAATGAATTCCTTTAATCGAAGTTTAATTAATTGTAAAATTAACTGTCTATATAAATGCATGCGTCGAATCGCAAAATCCCTTCTAGTTATCAACTTTTTGTATGGAATTATTATAAATCCAAGCATATTTTAATTATCGATTGAATAAGTCAAATTATCTAGTTCATTCCAAAAACCAAAAAATATGAGATCAAATGTTATAAAAAATATTTAACCATAAAACTCTTATGATTTATAATATTGAACTTTTGATGAATGATTGTTAGGTGTTATGTAGCTTCCTTATTAAATACAATTTATAAAGTTTAGAGTTGTTTAACTTGACGCTTTCTTTTCAATAAAACCATCAGAATACTAATAGCAATCTTCAGCGTTTGAAAAAGTAAAGTTTGTATTTTATGTTAGGTATGATGTCATAGAAGTCCATTCACATTTTGACAAATCAAAAAATAGTAGAATGATATTGATCAATAAAATCATTATTTAAATTTTAATAAATTTGGGTACCCCTTCTTCATTTTTATATGCTAATATCATTTAGCATTTGTTTAGAACTTAGTGTTAAAAGAGTTTTAAACAATAAAATATTTAATAGTATGCAATAAATCATCTCTCCTCTTGATTTATAGTATTTTTAATAGAAAAGATTTTTAATCATCATCCACCAGAAATATTAATGGTATCACTCATAATAAATCAATTATTTTTATAATACATCATTCATGATATGCAGCGATCGATTAAAAATTGTATAAATATATGAAAGAGAGTCTAGATGCTAGAATTTATATTAATTATTACAAATCTTATGAGGACGATTATTAGGGTATGTAAAATGAGAAAAA